GCCGAGAACTGACTAACCCTGGTTCTCGCAGCGTCTTCTGGCGTCGATTCCAACGCACCCTTGCTTCGCTTGGAGCAGACGGTCTCCTCTACCGTCTTCTCTCGTTCCTCGATTTTCCCCTGGGGCTTCAACGCGACCTCTGAGCGTTCCGTTGCTCCTCTGCCGGCGTTCTGTACCCGTCTTGGACGTTCCGTTGTCCTTGTCTCCCAGTCTTGGGCCACGTCGTGGCGTTCCGTTGCCGCCGTCGTTCTCACTCTTCCTCGTTCGGGCCTCTCCGTAGAGCCCATAATCTCTCCGCCTCGTCCTGAGCCAGTCCGTTCCGTTGGACTGCTCTTTTCATTCGTTCCAGTTTCGATATCCACAGTTTCCGTCCTTACGCTCGCGACAGGAACGCCACGAGCGTCTTCATAATTTTTCTCACGTTCCACCAGAGCCTCCTTGACTTCACCAGACGATGTTGGCGAGCCCTCAGCATCCTCTGTGTCGCTAGTCAGGCAAGAGGAAGGAGCGACACTTCCTTCCCCTTCCTCCTGCCCCCTTCACTGTTGAGACACGCCGGTGGGCGTTCCCACTGTCGCGTTCCGCACCGCCCCACGTAGTCTCTCGAGGCTAGGACACTTAGCTACCATGTGGTCCCCTCCGCCGCAGAGGAAACACTCCATCCTTCGGCGTTCCCCGTTCTGATAGCCGCCTTGAGTCTTCGGCCTGTTGCACTCCATAGAGTAATGACCCAGTTCGTTGCACCTGTTACAACGGCCTTGTCCTCTTGGGCAGGTCTCGCGGCTGCATCTGATCCGACCGCAGCGACCGCAGACCACCTCACCCTCGGTAGTGCGCGTGTCCGGTCCAAGACGAATGCGTAGAGGCCCGAGCGCCGAACCTGTGGCGTTCCTACTCACCACTGGAACGCCGTCGCGCGGAGAAGTCGGAGGAGCCACAGCGCTTACTAGCCCTCTCGGCGTTCCTGGCCCTAGCTGTTGCGTCCTCATCAGCTGATTCATCTGACGTAGCTCCTGGAGCACTTGGGACTCAGTCGAAGCCGCTCCATTCGCCCTTGGTTGACCCGTGACTTCGCCCGCGAACTCGTCTTCTTCCTCGACAGGGAGATGCAGGTTCTTGTACAGCAGTAGCGCACACGCTTCAGGAATCGACGTGACCATACTCGCGTTCAATACCGTCTTCATTTGCTTGTTACGTAGGCCATCCAGGAAGAACTCGTACCTCATACGAGGTTCGTGGTAGTTCAAGGCCTCGCACATAGTCG